AATTAATCAAGTTAAGCAGTTGAGGCAGGAAACAGTTGTGCCTCTGGTGAAGAGCTCCTCAAGCCTGATCAACGAAATGCTGGAAACAGATTATGACAATTGCTGCTGACATTATTTCACTTGATGTGATGATGTGGGAGTGGGGGAAATGTGCAAGGAAGTGGTCAGAAAATGGCAACAGCCACATGTCTGCCTGATATGAGTGCATGCATCAAAGCTCTGGGATGCCTCTCTTGGCAAGCTCCTGTGCTGGGATGCAGAGGAAACCAAAGCACTTCCATGCATACAAAGACGCGCAATAAAGGCTGCTAAGTAAGATGCCCTGATACATACACACAAAGGCATCCTGAAAAAGCATTGTAATTGAAATATACTTGGAGTCGAGAGTGGATTTCATGCTCTTTATACAGCTCGTAGTGGTGAGGAGGAATGGAAGTTCCCCCAGAACGTCTGCTTTATATACATTATTTACACAATGGGCCTCACGTGATTGGCTAATTCCGGGATTCTCCTGTAGGCCAATCAGGTCGCGGATTCACTTCTACCTGGAGCTGGATCGGGTGGCTCCTGTGGACCAATCAGAGCCTACTGTTCTAGGACGAATCAGGCTGCTGCATTCTGAATCCTATTGTTCTAGGACCAATCAGACTGCTGCATTTTGGATCCTATTCAGCTCAGTACATAACAGTAATAAATCTGGGATATAGTATATGATGATCTTAAAACAAAAAGTTTAAATATAACTTTGTGAAAAATACAGAAGCTTTCCTATTAGGAATAACAGACACAGATATAGCAAAAGAGGATTGGAAAATATTCCTGTATGCCACAGGTGTGGCGAGGACCTTAATTGCCAGAAATTGGAAAAAAGAATTTGTGCCAACAAAAAAGGAATGGCAGGATAAATTAATAGATTATACTGAATTGGCCAGATTAGCAGAGACAATTAGGGGACAACCTAGACAAGAATTCCAAAAAGAATGGGGAAAATGCAGAGAATACTTTACCAAACAATGCCCCAAAATATACACCTGGACTTGTTTTGATTAACTTCTATAGGAGACTTGGCAGTTTTTAAAGTCATAATTAGGAAAAAATGTAATAATCACATATAAAAGAAACAGTATACAAGAAGTAAATAAGGAGGCCATTTACAGGATAAAGGAAGTCTTTTATTTTTATTTTATTTTGTGTGTGTAAGGGGATAGGAGTTTAATTTTGATAATTAAATTGTCAATGGCGGTGGGTTTGTTTGTATGTATGAGTTGTTGTGGACTATGTTGTAAATAAAATAAAAATAAATAAAAATAATTCGAACCCCAATGAGAATTAGCTACTACATGTACAGCTGACAGAAAGTCACCACAACTCAGGTGAGGCTGAAAAGGCCAGGAACCGAAGGAGAGAAGAAGAGAAATAGGAATTTGAGCATGAATGACCAAAGGCATTCTCATGGGACAGGACAATGGGAAGATGGATTACTGCAAGCCCAAAGGTTCACAGGCCTCCACCATCTGCTGACAGATACAGGAGGTGTGAAAGGAAAGCCAGAGCTGCTGAACAAAAGGGCAGATGAGGCAATCTTGGATAAATGAGAGGCAGAGACAGGAGACTTCAGATACAGAGGAAGGGGAAGGAGATTAAAGGGGACTGAATGTGATGAACAAAGGGAACTTCAGAGGCAGGGAATGGGAGGGGTGGACAGCAGGGAACAAGAGGGAGGCCTTTGTAAAGCATAGGCAGATGCTACCATACTGGTCTTGCAGAATAAGAGACAAAACATGGAAAGTGATATCCTAATCTGTTAGCATAACAACATGCAAGCTTTTAAGTTGCACAGAACCTTTCATCTGTGTAATATATGACCTTGCATACTTTTAAAGAAGCAGAAAGAGATCCAGTACAATAAACTACTACTGATCCAAATGGCTTTTAACTGGCGTGGTCTTATTTTATTCAATATGCTGCTGATCTTTTGATTTACTGTTGCTTCGTTGGGCTTTTGATCATTTGTTTTTGCTGGCTGTTTTATATTTTAAGATGTTGCTTATCTCTGAATTTTGTAATTTTAAAAAGTTTAAACAACACTATATCTTTTAGTTTTTGTGCTTTATAATTGTGGCCTGATGCAGACTGCATGGCTCCAACCTCAAACCCTCCTCCCTCCGTTGCTTTGTTCACCATCTAGCTTGACGAAGAGTTCTGCAGAACTCAAAAAGCTTGCATGCTACTTTGTGACATTTTGGTTTGCCTAATAAAGGCGTTGCCCTACTGTGGATTTTTGAATTTGTTTAGAAAGGTAGCCAAAAATTGTTTTGAACACGCACAAACAGTGCTTTATCCCATTTTTCTCCCTGAGGGAAAAGTATAAATGGCAAATGATTGTCCTGTACAAATTTAAATGCAAGAGGTAAACTGCAGAACACTAGATGCTTCATGCATGATGACGAACCAGCCTCTAGCCCATGGGACTTGTGCCATTTCCCCTCCAACCCAGATCCGCACCTTGCTATTCCCCTTCCTTTTCAGGCATGAGAGCTGTGAGGAAATGGAGCTACTTCTTTCCTTTGACTTCCCCATACCCCCCCTCTCTGCATCCCAGTGTCCAAAGTTCCACTAGCAACTCCCAATTGTTATTTTCAATCTCTATCTTCTTAGTTCTTTTTTTTTTTAAATTTCTAACCTTATATCCCTGTATCCCTTTATTTCTGAAAACCGCAACATTTTAGCATTCATTAAGTTTATAGTAGTCCTTATTGGTCTTTATTTGACCCTTACCCTGTTTACCTTTCATTGACAAGGGAAAACTTGGTGTGTTCCCCACAGGATTACCTGGATGTTTTTAAACAGCTGCTGTTTTCCCCCTGATTATGAATTATTTTATCAAGCGATGCTCCCTGATTCTTATTGCGTGTCTGGTTTCTTGATGATGATGATGAATGATTTCTTTATGTTTGCGGCTTAGAGTCCAAAATTTTGACTGTTTTACAACAAGGGGAGGAATCCTTTGTAGCCTGAGGGAGGCATTCCCTTGTAGCTACCCTTCTAGAGGCCACATCCCAGTCTTAAAAGGTAAAGGGACCCCTGACCATTAGGTCCAGTCATGGCTGACTCTGGGGGTTGCGGTGCTCATCTTGCTTTATTGGCCGAGGGAGCCGGCGTACAGCTTCCGGGTCATGTGGCCAGCATGACTAAGCCGCTTCTGGCGAACCAGAGCAGCGCACGGAAACACCGTTTACCTTCCCACCGGAGTGGTACCTATTTATCTACTTGCACTTTGATGTGCTTTCAAACTGCTAGGTTGGCAGGAGCAGGGACCAAGCAATGGGACCTCACCCCGTCGTGGGGATTCGAACCGCCAACCTTTTGATCTGCAAGTCCTAGGCTCTGTGATTTAACCCACAGTGCCACCCATGTAGCTACCCTTCTAGAGGCCACATCCCAGTCTAGGGTAGGGCTAATGCAAACAAGTGCATGAGGCAATGAGGGGATGCAGGGAGTTGGATGGGGAAGTCCCCATAAGACTGCCTCCAGCCCATGGGCCAGAGGTTCCCCCACCTCTCTTTCATACACTGTTTTGGGTGCCACCTCTCAGTAGAAATATGGCCTGTAAATGCTAAAATATATAAACAAACAAAAATATTATATTTATCTGCAGCTATAATTAGTGGCAGCGTGCTGGGAAGGCTCTTGTTTTCTCTGTGCTGCAGCTGTGCAGAATATTCAGCCAAGCAGCACATACTGTGACAGAATGCTTGCTGTTACGGAAACGTCCTCCCTGTTTCTAGTAGGCTTCCTTTCTTTGCCAAAGAGCAAAGTGCTTTGCCCAAACTGTTTATATACTTTGCTGCTGAGATATTGGCCTCAGGTTTTCCTTAGGTGAGCAGACAGACAGCAGCTGGTTCTCTTGGCTGAGCTCTTGGTAGCCATGGAAGGAGTTAGCCCAGTGGAGAGAAGCTCTCCGTAGGCGTATCTGGATGGAGAGTGAAGACAAGAGCATCTATGATCTATTTTCACAAACTAATGTTAGAGTGGATTGGGGGGGGGGACTCCATCAAAATAGTATTTAGACAATGAAGTGATTCTTTTGAACTAGAAAATACAAGATGATTGTGCACATAAGTACATTTTCACCAAAAATATACCCCAGAGTTTCATTATAATGTTCCTCTAAAATTCAGCCTTTTGGGTAATCAGGAAAAAACCCTGTTAAGTGTTCTGGAAGGAGAGAAAAGGGAAAACAGACTGTGAGGATGGAAGTCTCATTAATGCATGTAAGTTGTCCTGAATGATGGGACAGGGCAGGTTATAGATCTAAGAAGGTATGAATGAAAGTGAGTTAATTCACAACCCCTTCTACCTATGTTGGGAAGATGTGTTCTCAGGCACTGGGTGCCTGAATAGTTTTTGTACAATTGGGAGAGGTGACTGAAACAAGGTCTGATGTAATAGCTGAAGACTATTCACTAGATCAGTGTTTCCCAACCTTGGGCCTCCAGCTGTTTTTGAACTACAATTCCCATCATCCCTGACCACTGGTCTTGCTAGCTAGGGATGATGGGAGTTGTAGTCCAAAAACAGCTGGAGGCCCAAGGTTGGGAAACACTGCACTAGATTAATCTGATGGCTTAGAGACCAGGAGACCCAGCTGAAGTAAGTATAAAGTTAAACAAATAGGGGCTATAAAAATGGTTGTCCCAATCCGGACAAGGTGATACTCCCTTGGAGAGAGATGTTGGCCTCACTTTAGGATCAGGAATGGTGGACGGAGATGTTGTCTATCAACACTGCATTATTTCACCTGGATGTGAATCTGAATATGAATAGTAGCTGAGCATCACTGGCTCAGTGGAGTGAGTTGCTTACACTGGTCTACTCTGGAAAACAGAAAGCTAACTTTCCCCTCCCCTCTTCTGACAGCAGAGGATAGTTTCTCCCCTCTCACATTCTGCTTGACAGGCTAACAAGAGGTAATTCTGTACTTAAGCCACTCTCCCTACCTTTGTTAGCACACGCCATCCACTGCAGAGGAGTGACGTCATAGTTATGCTGTCCAACAGAAAAGGTGAACACTCGCACCTGTGAAAAGGAAAAAAGAGTGATTTCTTTTTAATAAAGAAAATAAGATTAGTAGCATCCTTCAATAACCGTGGAGGGTTTGCCAACACCCAAGCCCATAAATGCACACATTTTGCATCTGAAATGCAAGCACCTGTAAAGGAAAATAGCAGATAGAGATTCTACAGGTAAGTACTTACTAGGGACTTATCTGTATGGCCACTGGCTGCATGGTAACTGCATGGCACCTCCCTCCCTCTGGCCATGCATCTCCTGCACCAAATATAATTTTTAAAAAATACATTTTCTAAGGTGTGGCAAAAAGTTTGATCTTGCACATGGTGGCAGCTGGCTGCACCCAACTAGCTGAGGAAGCAAACACAAAAAAGGAATGTTCAAGCAGCTACCATGCCTTCCAGTTTCCCTGTGCTAAGATAAATGCTTGAATGGTGAAGTACATGCTCTGCAGCTGGGTGGCTTCATGTACTCTGTAATTTATAGCCTGCTGCTTGGAAGCACAGTTCTTGATCATTGCTCCTATTGTAGTGATAACTAGAAAACCAGCAAAACAGCCAAAGCATAAAGGTAAAGGGACCCCTGACCATTAGGGTCCAGTTGTGGCTGACTCTGGGGTTGTGGCGCTCATCTCGCTTTATTGGCCGAGGGAGCTGGCGTACAGCTTCTGGGTCATGTGCAGAGCAGGGCACGGAAATGCCATTTACCTTCCCGCTGGAGCGGCACCTATTTATCTACTTGCACTTTGAAGTGCTTTCGAACTGCTAGGTTGGCAGGAGCTGGGACCGAGCAACGGCAGCTTACCCCGTCGCAGGGATTCGAACCACCAACCTTCTGATCAGCAAGCGCTAGGCTCTGTGGTTTAACCCACAGCGCCACCTGCGTCCTGCTTACACCGTGTTAAATAGTAAAATGGAAATTATTTATTTGTAAATACAAATTCTCCAGAAGGACCAAGGTGGCTCACAACACTATAAAACCCATCAACAATGTTAAGCCCTTGATGTACTTAACTAGGGGGTCTGTTCCTACAACCACTGGATGGGCGGCAGTTGTGGAAAAAATGCTAACACATGCTGGCTCCCATCAGCTGTGTGTACCAGATATTGTGATGCGCCCACCCTTCTGCACAAGCAAGCAGGTGCCACTCTAAACCCTTTCTTGCAGTGGTATGGCAGAAGCAGAACCCTGTGTGTCATGGCAACTGCCTATGAATTTTCAAGCAGCTGCCACCAACCCAGTGGCCACCTGGATTGGTCCTAAGATCAAGTACCTGGTGCAAGTGAATATGGCTGTTCATCACTTAGCAGTTCAGGTTTATCACTTAACAATTCGTATCACTAACATAAAGTGCTTAAATTATGCTGGACATCATTGTGCTGCTATTCAGCAACACCTTTGCACAGATGCATGTCACAGAAAGAACTATTCTGTCTGGTTGTCAAAGCCAGGAGCTACTCGTTTCCCAATGGCACAATGAAGAAACCTCAGTTTTCAAGCAAAATGAAGTAAGCAGATTGAAAAGCAACAAGTTGACAAAACCACATTCCTGAACAAAATGTGTTTGGGATCTAGGTCCAACTGTTAGGTTTTAAATACATATGGTTGTATCCAGTCTTAAGTCTTATGCAGAGTTTGGGCTCAGCAGAGGTTTCTGAGTCCAAGCCAAGCACACATTTATCATTGTGAGATGAGTTGCAAGCTAAACGGACTGCCATTCCTAAACCCGTTATGTGGGTGGAGAGACCTCTGTCCCCTGAATCAACAGGCCCACAGGAAAACTTGTGCATATTATTTTTAGATTATCTGGGAAGGGTCTTATCACACAAGTGCTAGAGGCTCTCCATCAAATAGATAGAGACAAATAGATAGAGATAGAGACAAATAGATAGAGACTCCATAAAATAGATAGAGACTCTCCATCAAATGGGGTCAAGAGGGAATAAATTTGACTCCCACACTACTAATGGTAAGAGTTGCTACTGTTGTAAGCAGTACCCACTCCCTCAATTTCTTTCCTTTGTTGCCTGCATGCAGGTACAATGAGTTTGGAAACAGAATAAAAATATGGAAAATGTGATTTTCTGTGTGCAAGACATGAATCAGAAGGTGTAGATGCTTCGAGGGAACTGTGCAGCTGCTGAAAAGCTAGTGAAAGTAGCTACTAGTGAAAGTAGGGAAGACGTTCATGAGCCAGAAACTGGATTTTGCTTTGGTGTAGCGTTTCACTGATCTTTACTGTTCTGCAAACAGCTGGACGAGGAAGATGATGTTTCAGTACAGTATCCCATATCTCACTATTGAGATCTCTCATCTGGTTTAAAAACAGCAGATGTTAGAGATCATATGCATTTCCTTTCCCTCTTGTATATAGGGAGGGAGGGAGAAAATAAGTCCAAGCCATTTGAGCACTTCCACCCAGCAGGCTTGTGTGTGTGTGTACACCCACCCACCCATGTGATGGAATATCTCCCAAACTCAGGAGTGTTGACAAAGATGCACCTTTTCCTGTAGCAGCAGCCTGTGCAAAGTTTCAGAGGAAGTTCTGTCCACCTTTTTTGGCACTTCAAGGTCGGTGCAGGTAATAAAAACAGTGCCAGCGTGTTAGACGCCCCATTAAAGGGGCAGTGGCTCAGTGCGGGAGCAGACAGGCAGGAAGATCAACTGTCTAAATAGCTCACATCAAATGAGGCGGAATCCTGCAATAAAGCATGAGTTAGCCACTTCCCCTTGTTCCCGTGACTGAGCTGATCCAGGTCACACAGCTGGTTCCTCGGCTATTCGGTGCTGTGTCTTGACTCATTTATAAGGTTCCATATGCAAAGATCTGGGCGGGGTGGTGCTGTCTTCCACCCCTCATTGGCTCATGCACAGATTCTATCTGGAAAAGCTAATAACAGTTTGAGCAGGTGAAGAAGAGGCGCAGTATGACTCCACCTGCCCCCTTCCCTGGCACAGTTCAAGCCTCCATATGGTACATTCGTGCCAAATGGAGAAGCACAGAATAAGGGAGGCACAGTGCACACTATTGTACTGTCTGGTATATGTTTTGGCTGCAATACAGCCATTTTGTGTAACAAAGGTCTGTCAGAGGCAAAGCTTAAACTTTCAGAGAAAGACAAATTCACCTAACGAACCCTGCCAGCAGAAGCCTGACACAAGGACTTCCACTTGTACAGTGGGGCTTTCCTTCTGCACCCCCACCCCAAAATAGGCTTGGGGGGGACTCCCAGAACATTGCACAGGGGAGGGAGGATTGTTCCATATGGCAAGCTGCTATGCTTGTGCAGATGGAGCGTCTGTAATAGCACACCATTAAATCCCCCACAAAGACTTCTATGGAATATGTATGGGAAGCTACTCACAAGTAACTCTTCCCAAACAGACAGCAGAAAAATCTCTTTCCCTTTCCTGCTCCCAGGTAGAAATCAAATTTACAATGCTTTTGCATTGGCAACACAACAACGACGACCCCTTCTATACCTGAAACTTGAATTCGGGAATTTATTTCCCATAAAGGCAAGTGGATCCCCCTCCCCCTCCCCCCTGTCCCTTGTAGGCAGCAACTTGAGTGAGACCATTCGGGAATCTAGCTTGCCAGATGCTGCGAGTGAGTGGCTTGTTTTGCTCTCTGACTGATTGAGAGCCAGCAACACTTATCTACAATGGCATGGTAATTTACTTCATAACTAACAAGTTACCTTAATCGGAATCAACAGCGTTTTCCATCTCTAGCTAAGAGCTGCTTCATACATTATGACATTACATGCTGGAAAACTGTAATGCATTTAACAGCCCTGTCAGAATTTTAGCTAAGACAGAGTGCTATTTTTGCATTCATTTTCTTATGCAGTACTTTATATTCTGGTTTTACCTAGATGAACCTGCTTGCTTAAACTTGTGTCCTGTGATATTCAAAAACACAAACATTTGGATTAAGGCCTGTGCATATTGTGTGTGAGGGGAGAAATCAGGGGTTCCAGTGGGGAAGGGTCTCATTGCTCTGCAGACAGGTTCAACGCTGTGATGGAAGGCTTAGAAGACTTAACTGTCTCCCTTAGTTGTCTCCCTTCAACAAGAAGAGAACAGACACAGAAACAGAAAATCCCTGACTCCATCCAGATACAATAGAGCCTAGTGTCGTCTAGTGACAAAACAAAATAATGGCATGCGATCCCCCTCCAAGCTTTGCTGCAGATCAGGGATAGCTAATAACGCCCTATGGGCGTTATGGGTCTATAGCTGCCATTGGCCCCAGCCTTCATGACCAAACAACAGGGATGATGGGAGCTGTAGTCCAATTATTATCTGGAAGGCACATTGTTGGCTACTGCTACCACTACTGTAGATCCATAGAGAATGAGGTCTCTCTGTGCACAACTGTTAAGTGGGTCAAAACTCAGGTCTGCAGCCTCTAGCTCAGAAAAACACTCTTGGGACAAGAGAGAAGCCTGAAAATTAGCTCTTGCCTGATAACTGACGATAATAACGGGATATATTTATAGTATCTTTAAATGGTGAATCACAGTATATTGCTAGGCATGGGGGTGAGGGTGGAACAACAATTGCAAGCAAACTCTGAAGTGAACAGCATCCTTGGCCTTGCCAAGCTACTTGCCCCTGTAAGGAGCAACTCCTGACAGAGAAGCTGGAACTGAGGCAACCGGGAGTAGGCAGAAGAAATGCTATGGTGGAGCCTCAAGGTCAAACTGCACATACTGCAGGACATTGATGTTGTACCACCCACCCTGATGCCCAATGGCCTGCCTGACCAAGGTTGTCTCCAGGGTCACGTTGGACACTATTGTTTTGGGTGGCAAAGGGTGGCATTTTGAGGTGCTGAGGCTGCCTCAGGGCTAGCTTGAGTTTGCATGGCAGCCATGGGACTAATTCAGATAGTTATCAGCCCAACGCACAGGGCGAGGCGTACTCTCAGGGCTGACTCATCGGCAGGTCAGAATGGAGATGCAGAGACTCAAAGTAAACCCAGCTTTTTATTCAAGAAAATAGTATAAAAGCAGAGAGCATGGAGGCACAGCTTTCCTCAGTGGTGATGTTGTCAAGATTGGCTCTTGGCCCTTGCTGTTTCTTCCTAAACCTCCTCCTCTGGATGTCTCTCAAACTGGTGTAAACGCCAGTGGGGAGGGTGCCCACATGGGCTTTCTGAGCTTTCCATTCAGCTACATGCAAAGCCCTGTGTGACCTTGGAGTCAAAGGGGGAGGGGAGCTTACTACAGTGGGACTGGGCAGCTGCTGAGAAGCTGGTGCAGCTTTTGTCCCTTCCTCCTCCTCTCTTTCAGGTCTCAGCCTCTCTCTGTCTGCACCCTGTTCTGCCCTTGAAAGGCTTTCTGCCTCCAGCTCTTTTCTTTCCCTCAAGCCTGTTGCTTCTTCTACTTCCTCGGCAATCTTCGCGGAGCTCTGGCCCAATGGTTGCCAGTGGTTTGATTTTATAATGAATGATTTTAGAGTGTTGTGTTGTGTTGTACTTTTGTACTGTTTTATTGTTGTTAGCCACCCTGAGCCCGGTTTCGGCTGGGGAGGGTGGGATATAAATAAAATTTATTATTTATTATTATTATTCCCAGCCTCCCTCCTCTTCTGACGTGTCTTCAGAGTCCCACCACCACAATTCTGGTTGTGAGCCTTCTTTCTCTCCTGCTTGCCTAGGGGGCTCTGTGGCTGGAGACTCCCACTGCTCCTCTTCATCCAGCCACTCCTTGACAATTACACTTGACTTAATCATTCTTGTAACGGTAAGAGGGGGATCTTGATATGGAGTGATGGTCGTAATCCCGTTGTCATAGTCAGACTAGTTTTAATGGCATTTCAAGGATACATTTGCTCAGCTCCATAGCATTTTCAATGCAGTAGTTCTTATGAATACTGTTGGGGTTGTCCAGTACAGAATTTATGAGATCTGCTTCAGTTTTTGAGACCCAATAATGTAGACAGGACCTTTGCAATGATGTGACCTGCTTCTTGCTCCCTTTACCCATGTCCATCCTTGGGGAAAATGGATTGGCAAGGTGGGTCCAGGCTGTGGTAAACATGCAATGGAGTGGTGCCTGTTGTCTTTAAACAGGCAGTAGTGCATAGATTCCTAAATAAATCCATCCTGGACCCTGTGGTTTTTAACAACTACTGCCCAGTGGCAATCTCCCCCTTCTTGGGCAAGATGGTGGAGAGTGGTGGCACAGCGGCTACAGAAGTTCCTGAAAAATGCAGATTATCTGGAGCCGTTTCAGTTTGGCCTCAGGCATGGTTTTGGGATTCAATCAGCCTTGATCACCCTGTTGGATGACCTGTATCAAGAGCAGGACAGGGGGAATGTGACTATGACAGTAAGAGCTGTTTAACAGGCTTCCTTGAAAGGTGGTGGACTCTCCTTCCTTGGAGGTTTTTAAGCAAAGGTTGGATGGCCATCTGTCATGGATGCTTTAGCGGAGATTCTTGCATTGCTGGGGGTTGGACCAGGTGACCCTTGGGTCCCTTCCAATTCTAAGATTCTATGTTCCACATCTTTTAAGACCATTGCTAATGGTATCCACCGGGATCAGCTCTGTAGGATGGTATTAGGAGCACTGTTTCACAGTGGCTCCACTCCAGCTGCAGGACCATGTCCAGACAATAGCACTGGGAGATGTCTCAGCCCTATGATCTTGTGCTGTGGTGTTCTGCAGAGCATGATCCTGTTACCAATGCTATTCAACATCTACATGAAGCATTCGGGAGTGGTTATTAGGAGTTTTGGGCAAAGTGTCACCAGTACACTGATGACACACTGCTTTTTCTGTCCATAACATGGACATGAGTCAGAAGAGGCAGAATGTGATCTGGACCATTGTCTGGGCACAGTAGCGAACTGGAGGAGGGCAAATAAGTTGAGTTTGGACCCTGGGAAAAGGAAGGCACAGTGTGTGGGATGCTTCCCATGTCCGAGAAATGGGCCATTTGCCTGTTCTGGACAGGGATTCACTCCCTCTGAAAGAGCAAGTCCATAGTTTGGGAATAATCCTGGATCCGTTTCGGTCCCTTGAGGTTCAGGTAGCATTTGTTCAGGAGTGCCTTTCAGCTATGGGTGCTATGCCAACTACAGCTATTTCTGGACAGCAATAGATTCATTCACCGGCAACCCAGGACTTGATTATTGTAGTATGTTCTATGTGGGGCTACAATTGGGCCTGGTTTGAAAGCTCCAGCTGATGCAAAAGCTAGACTGTTGATAAGGACAGACTACTGCCTGCCTATAACACTGGTGATTAAAAGCTTGGACTGGCTGCTCATATGTTATTAGGTCAATTTTAAGATTCTTGTTTTAATTTACAAGGCTTTTAACAACTTGGATCCAGGATACCTTAAGGACTACCTAATCCTTTATATCCCCACCCAATCAATGAGGTCTTTGGGGTAGTCTTTGTTTATCTCTCACTTCCCCCGCCCCCCAGAAGCTGTGCATTCAGAATTAGTACAATTCTGTGAAACCCCCTTCCAACTGAGATTAGACTAGGTCCCCTCCAGTTTAAACACTCACTGTCTTATTAGGCCAGTTGTACTTCTCAAACACATCTTGCACTCGATCTTCTCCTCCGTCAGTGAACATCATGATCATCTTATTGCAATTGGCTCTTGTGATGTTGGACTGCAAATGGGAAGCAAACATTTGAGTGAGTGCACAACTCAGAACCAAAGGCATTGCCCTAGAAAGGATTGTGGGAAGAGAATGCCAAATATGTCTATATGTATGTTTAATACCCTTTGCTTAAAATAAAGCATAGAGGGGCAGGATCAGCATCGTGATTGCATTTTTTTCAGAGAAACAATCTGGTTGGATGGATGGCTGATGAGTGTGTGAGTGAAAGAGAGAGAATATGAATGAGTGAGGTATGTGTATATGTAAAAATGCAGTTCTCCTCTCACAATCTTTAAACATGGAAGCGATCTCTACAGTAGATAAATCCCCACAGTTACTGGGTTTACAGGCATGTCAGGGGTAGTGAAGGGAAAAGTAGGATTCAAATCTGAAGTAAATTAGTGGCAGCAGATACACACAGGTTTGTGTATGCACAAGCACGTGCTTCTTTACTTGTAAAAGGGAATGGCAGACGCTAGATATAGATGTGCTTGCAAACACAGAGGAGTACACAGAGTAAATGCTGGGACTACAGTTTCCTGCCCTTTCCCAGCCACGTCTTCAGCCCAAGAAACTGGCAGTGAGGGATCTGTTTTCTTTAGCTGCTTCTCCAGGGGTGAAGGTGGTGCAGATGAACAGGGAGAAGGAGGGGTTGTCTGGACGGAAATTATGTTGTGGCTATTACCGCTCAGCGATTAATAGGGCTATCCGTCTTTATTTTGCCCAACGTCACTGTAGCCTGCCTGAGCCGAGCCCTCTCAGATAGGCCATGCTACCTTTCTAATGAAATGGAAGAGGCAGCTGCTGCCGCCATTAAAACTTAAGTGTCAGCCACTGATGCTTTTCATTTATCTGGGGAGAAGCAGGCAGCACCAATGCCCTGTCCCAGTATAGCTCTATTCTTAAGGCACATAGACCTCCCCCCCCGCCCACTACAATGTCAGGGAGAATAACATGGATGCTCCCAGCCCTGCTCACCACTTTGCAGCTGCTGTGTCATTGGGAATACAATGCTGTAGGAACAATCTCCAGAGATGGATTGTTGGTTACAGAGGAATTTCCTCCAATTCCAACAGCATCCGCTACTCCAAATTAGACTCGTAAACAACTGTTTCTTTTTCTTTGCTTATGCCAATGCCTCAGAATGTTATTCATCCCAATTTTTTTTTGCCCTGCTCTTCCTCTAAGAAATACATGGTTCCTCTTCCCATTTTATGCTCACAACTATCCTAAGAGGTATAGGTTAGGATGACAGTCAGTAATTAGCACAAGGATTCCCAGTGACCTTCGCAGCTGAGTGGGGATTTGAATCTGGGTCTCTCCCTGGTCCTAGCCTGACAGACACCCACTCACTGTGTGAACTAAGGAGCCATGAATAAGTGGATGAGCCATAAAGGCCATTTCTCATGATGTGTGAAGAAGAATTTGGAAGGTGGGTGATGTGGTAATGTTGCAATAGGATGTGCAAGTCTGAGACATACCTCTACAAAGCTTCCTAGGAAGCTTCTCTGCTACTCATGCACCTCAGGGCCAAACTGAGTGATGTGAATGCATGTCCAACGTCTTCCCCCACCCCAAGCACCTGCCAGGGGAGCAATTTGGATAGGGGCTCTGGAGAAACTGGAGCCCCTTCCCCATCCCATGACGCTAATGATCTTAACCCTGTTTATGTACCTTCAACATCTCACCTAGTTTGGTCCTCACCTTTACAGCCCCATATTCTCCTGCACACATCTTTTTTGAATTACCCTGCCCCACTCTGAGTTTACACCCTGTGCTTACATTTTGCAACTGTTCAAAGGCATATTCAAAGCCGGCCTTGTAGTCCGTGGTTCCTTGGGCCTCCATTAAATCCACCTTTTCTTTAAAGACCTTCTTGTTGCGAATATTTGCCTGGACTAAATGCTTGAAGCAAGATACAGGCTGTGCATTTTGGTTGAACTGGAAGACAAGAGGTAAGAGAGGTGCAGTGCATTAAAGGAGGTGAGAAGGCAATGCAAAAGTTGTGAACCGCATCCACCCCTCCCCATAAAGCCGTGTCTTGTTTAGCTGATAACGAAACCATGGATGTTTTCAGCAATACAGATGCAAGGCTATCTTTTATTCTGTTAGCAATCTCAGCAACCTACGTGGACAGCTGAGGAAGTTAGTTGGGAGGCAAGCAAGGTCAAGAGTCAGATGCTACCGTCAGTAGACACTTGCTACCTTCTCACATACATTCTAGCTCAGTTCATTGGGACTTTTCCTAGTGACAAGCCAATTGCAGATGTGCTAACTTTGGGTTTGGGTCTGAGTGGTGGCAAGCATATTTTTGCATCATTGGACATATCCAAACTGCAGATTTAAGCAGAATTAAAGCAGATAACCTTAGCAGTTGTAGCTCTTTTGTGGGATGGAAGGAAAGCCGGGCACATCAAACAGAAATTTCTTTTTGCCTTGTCAGCTGCAGTTCACAGGATTCCCCCTTTGGGGAAAGGTAAATGAGAGAGTATATAAAATGGATATGTTTGTAATGTAGATATGACCACAACGAGAGACTCAAAGGGAACCAAGATTCTGCCTGAATACACACCATACATTCAAAGCACATGGCTCCCCCCAAAGAAGCCTGGGAACTGTAGTTTGTTAAAGGTGCAGGGGATCAAAGCTATGTGAGGGGTAAACTACAGTTTCCATAATTTTTGGATGTGAGTGGGTGTGCTTTAAATGTACACAGTCTCCAACTATCTAATAGTTATCTTGTACTTCTTCCAAGAATTCAGGGTGGCAAAGATGGATGACCCCCATCCTTTTATCTTCTCAAAAACCCTGTAAAGTTTGTTACTCTGAAAGATGGTGCCTGACGCAAAGTTATCCAGTAAGCGTTATGGTCAAGTAGAAATTTGAACAAGTTGCCTTGGCATGACCACAAACCTTCTTATGGTTCCAAAAGAACAAAGGATATATGGAAGATACTTTGGGCAGCCCTCCTATGCACCCACCCCCTCTGTGAATGCAATATTCACAGTCAGTTGTCCCAAATGCACAAGGCGAGAAAGCGAATCAAGGAGTTTGGACAAAAAGGTGTGAGGAGAAGTGAGCGAAATAAGCAATGGGCATAAACATACTTTTCAGCCCCTCTGCTGAAGGACAGGGTCTTCTTATAATGAGGGCCACATTGCCCCCCCTTCTATAGGTTTAGATTGTGGAGGAATTCATTGGTATTAATGGTATGTTGTGATTTACACACACACACACACACACACACACACACACACACACAGAGAGAGAGAGAGAGAGAGAGAGAGAGAGACACCCCCCAACCACCACTCAATGCTCAACTGAGAACAGAATGAATTTGCTGAGAGAGAAAGCTGTGATTACCTGAACACCTCCAGGCGTGTTTTCTGCAGGACATTTCGGTGGCTTATCACAAGGTCACAGGCCCAGTTAAGAGCATGCCCTGTGCTAAGCTCCTGTTAGGAGAGGGCTGACTTTCCACTCAGAGTTTGGCCAGGCGGGTGAAGCGAGAAGGCATTCATTTTTGCTTATGGCTTAGTTTGCTGGAAATATGGAACATTCATTTAGGAGGCAGTGAGCCAGCAAAAGTAACGAGGCTAGACTCGTTAATTAGCAGAGCCCTAGCACAGGCATGTTCCATGCCAGACAGCAGGCACGTGACGCAGAGAATGACAAGAGCTCTTCATTTTCTTCCCGATATGACTTTCTTTAGGCTCACAGAGAAATAAAGTTGCAGAACTTTTTTCAGTGAGCAGACTTAATTTGGGCCAAGGCTACAACTGCTCAGGGCTTAGCAGCAATGCTATATAGACGCCTGCCCTATAACATGAAGCAGCAGTAAAGAAGACATACCTTTCCAAGAAGGCATTAACTCTAGCATTATAGAAAGCAAATACTGGCTCCAGAGCATAGGAGGAGGCATCAAAGACAAGGGTTGCCCTGACCTGTTCTTTGACATTTTGCCCTTGAAAAACTCATCTGAGGCAGGCGGTACACAAAGTTTATTCTCAGCCTATGGGATCACTATCTAGAGCACAAGTGGGCAACCTTTTTGGGCCAAGGGCTGTATGTGGAGGCTGATCAAGGACTCACAGTCACATATGCATGCACCCACTCATCCATCCACACTTGGCTTGCTCTCTCTCTGACACCTTAATCCCCCCTTCCATTCCCAGCAAATGTTAAACATGCACATACACACCCACAAGCTGCATGAGGAGGGCAGGGTGGGGAAGGGGAACAGGGAGGTTATGCACTCCCTTAGTAAAATAACGCTGTCCTCTATGCTGCTATTAGCATTGTGGGGATAGAGCTCTTGATTGCATGAGCTTAAAATCTCCCCCACGGCAGCCCATCCCAGTGTCTCTTTGCTGTGTAGCACTGCAGGAACAGCAGTCTTTCCCCTGCTGCGCAGCATACGGCTGCTCGGCTGTTCAGTGGGGAAAAGTGGTCAGGGCTCCTTGGAGCTTGGTGGGCCAAACCTAAAGGCGACCATGGGCTGGGTTGCCCATCTGTCTTCTAGAGCAGAACCAGGCACAGACAATTGTAGGAGACAAAAATGCTTGCTGCTGTAGCTGCCACCTGTACTATTGATTAATTAGTTAACCGCTTAATGCAGGGGTCAGCAAACCTTTTCAGCAGGGGGTCAGTCCACTGTCCCTCAGACCTTGTGGGGGGCAGTTATTAAACAACTACCAGACTTTTAGAAGACATCTGAAGGCAGCCCTGTTTAGGGAAGCTTTTAATGTTTGACAGATATTGTATTTTAATATTTTGTTGGAAGCCGCCCAGACTGGCTGGGGAAAACCCAGCCAGATGGGTGGGGTATAATAATAATAATAATAATAATAATAATAATAATAATAATAATAATAATATTTTTGGGGAATGAACAAATTCCTATGCCCCCAAATAACCCAGAGATGCATTTTAAATAAAAAGACACATTCTACTCATGCAAAAACACGCTATTCCCGGACCATCCACGGGCTGGATTTAGAAGGCAATTGGGCTGGATCCAGCCCCCGGGCCTTAGGTTGCCTACCCATGGCTTAATGTCATGATAGCTTAAAAATGGTTTACAAAACATAAAAATCAACCACCCAAACTATTAGGATACAGAACAATTAAAAACACATCATGATTAAAAAACATAATAATAAACCACCAACATGGAAATATCTGTGCTTAAAATATGCAATAAAGCAATCCCATTGAAGCATTACAGAAATCAAAATGGGAAACTCGGGTCAAGAGATCAAGGAAATGCCTGCGTAAACAGGTGAATTTGCAAAAGTCAGTGGAATGGCAATACATATGGGGCCAGTTCAAGCCTATACACTGTTACTACTCGAAAGCCAAGGTGGGCAAGGAAGGTCCAACACAATTTCTGGTTAATTCAATTTGTTGATAAGCTACATCACTTTCCCTTGTACTGCAATGCACAGAACACCTTCCCTTTCCATCCCCTCAGCTAAAACACCTGTTCATGCTCTAATCACCTCCCACCCTATTAACCGCAACCTTCTTTCCCCCGGCCTTCTGTTGTTGCACCTTAGCTGCCACAGTCATTCATCTTTCTCAGTTCTCAGTTCTTGTGACAGCCCTCTTTCAATTCTTGCGCTGGCTACCTATTCATTCTCAACTCTTTGGCTGTGGTTTTAAAAGCCCTTCACAGACTCTCCATCCCACCCAAATTTCTCTGTCCGTGCATCTGGATATGTCACTGCCTCTGGCACCTATTCCTCCAACTCTGCCATCCGCACATGCCCAAAGGTCTCCTGCTCTTTCTTCCAGAATTCCATCCAACTCCTTTATTAGTTAGCCCAAAAGAGAAACAAAACAAGGCCTTACACAACTAAAAGCTTTTCCCTGAAAGTTAAGCACAGAGAACTTTCAACAAATGACTCCTGTTATAAAGGGTTATAAAGGCCAGGACTAGCCGCCTGAAAAACAGTTTCTACGCTAATGCAATTCTGGTTCTAAACGCAGCATAAGGGGTCTCTGTAGTATAGTGTATTTTAAAATGGGGTTTTAGAGTTTTTAGGGTTTTTTGAATGTTTTATGTAGTTTTGTAGTAGTTTTATGTAGTTTTGTGGTAGTTTTTATGTAGTTTTATGTAGTTTTCAATTTCATTGTTCCGCAAGGGACAATGACAATAAAGATAGCGTATATCGTATATCGTATGAAATGTACAGTATGAGCCTACTATGATAGCCATCTCCAAATATCTAAAGGGCTGTCAGGTGGAAGATGGAGCAAGCTTGTTTTCTCCAGTGGATTCAAGTTACAAGAAAGTAGATTCTGACAGTGGAAGGTATACTTTCAGGTGGTGGTGGACTCTCCTTCATTTGAAGTTTTTAAGCAGAGGTTGGATGGCCATCTGTCATGGATGCTTTAGCGGAAATTCCTGCCTTGCAGGGGGTTGGACTCTAGTCAGGGCCCCTTCCTGAGGATTCCTTAGGATCCTTCCCACTCTATTATTCTATGATACTTTCCCAACAGATGAATATGTTCTCAACACAGTCCTAACAATCAATTTAAAAGGGAGGAGCCCTGGAATTGATGATAAGCCCCTCACCATGTCACAGTCTATTCCTCTTGTCTTCTGTCTCCTTTTTCCCTTATCTAAATATTGCCAATTTTACCTGCCTGTTTAAAGCCCAGCACACCCCGTCCCTGGTGCAAGATAAACCAATCAATAACAATGATGGCAGCAATCCAGCAATGGCTCATAGCGGACTCTCTCGGGCATGCAGAAGTGAGGAAGATAGGAGTTATGTGCCCACCTTTCCCGACACAACAGCTGCCAACAGTTTAACAAAATGGTCTTATGAGTGAGGAAGAGAATATTTCCCCCCAGGCATCTATCTTGATATCTAACTGGCCAAATGCATTAATGATAATACTGATTCATAACCAGATTGCAAGATCTTCACAAG